CACTTAGACTCACACATTCCATGACCAGATGATGCACTCTCACGAACACCATGTTGAATTTCTCATCTAGATATCTTCTCTTCTTCGTTCTTTAATGGTCCATTTACGCAAGTCAAATCGAGTCCGTAAGGTGGCGCATTAGATGTACATGTGGGTTCGTTCGCTGCGGTATTTTACGGGGCTTTTCTTGCGTAAGTCGTTTGTATAGCGCTTTTTCGTTCTAGTTTGACCTGCTAATTGAGCTGGCACGAGTCTGTGTTCATTTTTGTGCTCTTCTCTATCGTGTTTTTCCGTAAATTACATTCTCTCGATCCCGTATCGGGGGCACCGGCCTTCGGAATAGGAGGAGGAAACCTCCATTAGATTTATAATATCACATAATCTCTCTCTCTCTCTCAAGCTCTAAGGCTCTCCCCCCTCAATGGAATCGAGTTCTCTGTTTTCTCCTTCTTCCTCATTATCTTCCAATTCCGATCCTAGTATGCCTTTGATGAACGCCTCTTCGGACAAGAATATCAACCGAATGCTCACTAATTTGATGGCGAAAGCCGCCGGCAGTAATGGCGACGGCGGTGGCGCCTCCCCCCTACCAGCCTTTATCGTCGTTGACGACACAACCATCAATTCGCCGCTTCCTATGGACATTGATGATGAGAGATAGTCGCAAGTGTAGTGCTGAAATAACAAGTGAGGAGATGAGATCGAAGATCTTGGCTGTTAATCCACCTCACTCTGAATCCCACTTGGGTGAATCGGTATCGGCGCTAAAACGAGGAATGTCTCGATTAATAAATATTCTAAAAATGACATTCTCTTCTTTGTCATATATGTATACTCGAACAAGTCGCCGATAATCTATATATTTTTTTGTACTTTCTCGAGTTGTTTCTAAATCTATAGAGTGATATTCTTTTCATTAAGAGGCTTGGCGCCGATAAAGCCATAATAAAGGTCAAGACTGCAGACGCAGTTAATCGTTTAATCTCTAATCCTTTAAGAACGGCTTTCGAGCTTTCATTTCATCCTTTAAAGTCCTCTGCACCAGAATTATCAAAGGTATTAGTCAGTCTATCTCGTTGGACTGTCTCAGAGAAATCTATGATCTCAATGATCAAAGTATTTCACATACAATACTTAAATAAACGCATAACAATCAACGGTAAGGCCACTTACGCATCTTCGCGAATAGTCTGTATAAAATTTGCAGGACATTCACTCCCAAAGAAGATGATTTTATTTAATGCTTTATACAAAGTCGATTCATATATTCCAAAAATCAGGATTTGTTACGTTTGTTACAGAATTGGCCATATCGGTCGCGACTAAAAGCACCAAACCAAGATGCCTCTTCTGTGGACTCACTAGAGAAGAAGATCTCTTGCTCAATTAATCAGGCGCATGCCAAGTGTATCAATTGCGAGGCGACGAGTGTATTGCATCTCACAACCTCGCATACATGCCCTATCATTATTAAGCATAAGACTATCCTCGGCCGCGCAAAAAAATATTCCTCTTGTGGAAACTAGTTACTTCCAACAGCTTCCTCCCCCCCCCTTCACAACACACTTTTTGATTTTAAAAATTTTCCTTTCTTCCAAAGTCAAACTTCTGCTTCTTCTTCTGTGCCAAAATCCTACAGCTTTTCCTATACTACATCTAGCCTCCCCTTTATGATATCACTAGCTTCATATAATTATTTCCAACATTTTGACTATGACAAAGGATCCCTTCTCTCATAACCCTCCAAAAAGGCAGCGTCGTCGCCTCTGATACAATCGATTGTTTCGGACCTCCCCCCCCCCTTCAGGGAAATCATCCATCTGTAAAATAGAGTCTGTTGCAGGGAAATACAAAATTCTTCCTGCATCATCTTTCATCCTGGATCATTCAACTCAATGTACAAACAAATCAGGATACTCTCAGGATCACCTAGATCTTCTGCTTACATCCAATGGTCGTAATGACATTAACTACGATGCGAAGCATTATTACTCACTCAAAGGAGTAAGCGATAAAAAGCCTCCATGTTCACCAACAAAAAAATCAATTTCAAATATATACGGTCTTTCAATAGGGACGCTCGAAATTTGTTAGATCATAGTAGCCATGTTGTTAAAGTGACATCTGTCAAATTTATTGTGAATTGTTTAGTAGTGTATGGCAAATCATCATAGAAGGTCATAGTGTGTTGAGCAACGTGTACAAATAAAATTTTATTATCAAAATCAGTGCTCCGTTCGAGAAACGTTCCGCGCATTATGTGATTTTTATTTTCGCCACCGTCCTGCCGAGTCGACTATTCGACGTTTGGTGGCCAAATTCGAATCAACCGGTTCGATAAATAATCAGCCAACACCAGTACGTCGCCGAAACGCAAGGTCTGCTGAAAACATCGTTGTACGTGAGAGTGTATGAGAAAACTCTTGACCGAGGCGGTCAATTTCTCGTCGTTCACAAGAACTTGGTCTTTCTGCGACTTCAACTTGGCGAATTTTGCATCAAGACTTGAATCTGCCCTATAAAATTCAACTGACTCAGGAACATAAGGTAAACGACCATAGACAACGCCATGTGTTCGCTGATTGAGTTCTAGAACAGTTGGAAGTTAACCCAAATTTCGCCAAACAAATTATCTTTAGCGATGAGGCCCATTTTTGGATGAATGGATATGTGAACAAGCAAAATTGTCGAATTTGGGATGATAACCAATCCACGCGAGATACACCAGCTCGAAATGCATCCCGAGAAAGTCACTGTTTGGTGCAGATTTTAATCTGGCGGAATCATCGATCATACTTCTTCCAAAACGAAGCGGGCGTTGCCATAACCGTCAATAGTGAGCGCTACAGATCGATGATAAGCAACTTCTTGTGGCCTAAAATGAATGATATGGATACCGATAACATGTGGTTCCAACAGGATGGCGTTATGTGTCATACACCGCATGCCACGATGGACATTCTGCACAAGCGATTTGAGGGCATGGTTATCTTACGCAGCGGCGACGTGAACTGGCCATCGAGATCGTGCGATTTAACGCCTTTAAACTTCTTCCTTTAGGGCTATCTTAAATCGCAGGTCTATTCGGATAAACTGCAAACAATTGATGCTCTCAAAGTCAACATAACAAACGCCATCCAGCAAATTCAGCCAGATTTATGCGAGAAAGTCATCGAAAATTAGACCGCCCGAATACGTGTTACCAAGCGAAGCCGCAGACATTTGAGCGACGTTATATTCCATACTTAATGCCATAAAATATTCTTTCAAATAAAAAAAAAATTGAGTGGATGTCTCACTCACTTGTTTAATTTACATTTAAAAATCGAGCGTCCTTATTGAAAGACCCTTTAGGTATGATCATTCAGAAGATATTATAAGCTTCCTCGAGAACTGTGATTAATATTCCTGTCTCTGATTAACATTCCTGTCGTTATTGGTATAATATCTCCCATTATTTCCCTACTCCAAAAAATCTCCGAAATTCTATTCAATCTTGGTTATTACTTCAAATCTAATACTGACTCTATAAGTAATCAACATTCCTTCTCTCTTAGTAATGCTGACCTACTAACAAGATATAGTAATCACCTTCGCCCTCAATAAGAATTCACAATCTATTAGAATCCTATAATGGAATTGCTGCGGCATTCGTGCCAAACTTCCTCAGTTACAACATATTAATCGATAGTTTGACATTTTCTGCTTGCAAGATACCCTGCTTTATCCAACCATACCTTTTCGACTTTCACCTTTTAAAGTTATTAGAAAGGACTCAGAGAGCTCTGGCCAGAGAGAGAGAAGAATCTATATCCTGTTAAAGAATAACATCACAATTCAGTTATTTGGACCTTTCGAATCTACATCATTCTTCGATAAAAGTACAAAGTATAGCAATCAATCTCAATGATAAGCAACTAATCGTTAACATTTACTAATTATTAATTATTAACATTTATTAATTATTAACATTTACCGTTATCCAACACATACCTCAAGAATGTTTCGACAAACTTTCACAAACAACAAGAACTCGCTCATAACAGATGATTTTAACGTGCCTCTTGGAGACGCTCCAAATTTGATCGTCCCGGCACTTCTAAGCATGTAAACGGAGTCTGCATTATGAATAATAGTAAATAATTCTCCTCACCCCGCCGGGGACAAACAAATCTGTAATTGACATCACCATTACTTCTGCCGATTTGACGCCACTATGTGAAATCACTACTGAATCGGACACCTTTGGCAGTGATCACTTTCCTATCAACATAACTATTGGCTTCTCTTATCTACGACTTCTCTTGTCTACGTCTTTCTACATAAATTATTGATACGAACAAAGCTAACAAATTACACCATTATTTACTATCTACCTCCGATCTACCGCCTTTTTAGCAACGTCCCTATAGACTCTACTGAGGCATATGAATATTTTGCAGATTTACGAAGTCTTACAAAATTGCTCTTTCCCGAAAAACAATGACTTTCTAGGTCAGTCCCAGCTCCTAGGAAGGAGACAGGAAAAGTCCTCCTTGGTGGACGGAAGAATGCTCCAGAATCATTCTAAGTCGCAGAAGAGCCACAAAAATATATTAACAGTGCCTATCTATCGAGAATTTCCTTTCATTCAAGAAAGCAAGAACATTATGCACTAGGACTTTATACAAGATTAAGAAGAGACATTGGAAGAACTTCATAGAATCATTTGACTGTAAGACTTCTACCAGTGATATGTGGCATTTAGTTAAAGCCTTCAAAACGTAATCTATCAGAGCTTTCCAGTGTGATTTCAGATGACGATAGGCAAAACAACCTTCCAGAAAAGGTCAAAGGTTAAATCTGTCCTCCTTTCTGCCCTATGAATACTGGCAAAAGTTTGTCATCATGATTGCAGAAGACATTCACCATCAGAGAACAGTTTTCAAAGATCTGGATTTGACCTTTTTTACCAATGAGTCTAGATCAAATCAGCTATGCTTTCTGCTTTGCCGGCTAAAACAAAGAACTTTTATTGAACTTATTCAACCACTTTTTAGAGAGAACTATTAGATGTACAACTTTGCATCCGCCGTTTTCCTATAAATGGCTTTAGCATTAAGTGGTGGTCGAAATAAATAGATCATAGACGTCATACAATAAACTTGGGCATCTGTCAACATAACCCCATAGAAACATTAGTCGATTTGTGTCTGCATCATAAAATTATTCTCGATTGAAAATGTCAGTTTACGAGCCAAATTCTTGTCATTTGCGGGAGGTTTTAATTTTTTGCTTCAATATGAAGAAATTTGCGGCTGAGGCTCATCGAATGCTCTCAAATACTTATGGTGAGGCCGCTATTAGTGAAAGAACGTGTCGAGAATGGTTTCAACGCTTCAAGAACGGTGATTTTGACGTCGAAGACCGGCATAGTAGTGGAAGAGAGAAAGTTTTCGAAGATGCAGAATTGGAGGCATTACTTGAGCAAGACTCGTGTCAAAATCAAGAAGAATTGG